CTCCTCCTCAGGCCTCCCCTGCCCTCAGGCCTCTCCTCCTCCTCAGGCCTCCCCTCCTCCTCAGGCCTCTCCTCCTCCTCAGGCCTCTCCTCCTCCTCAGGCCTCTCCTGCCCTCAGGACTCCCTGCCCTCAGGGCTCTCCTCCTCCTCAGGCCTCCCCTGCCCTCAGGCTCTCCTGCCCTCAGGCTCTCCTCCTCCTCAGGCCTCCCCTCCTCCTCAGGCCTCTCCTCCTCCTCAGGCCTCCCCTCCTCCTCAGGCCTCTCCTCCTCCTCAGGCCTCTCCTCCTCCTCAGGCCTCCCCTAGCCTCAGGCCTCTCCTGCCCTCGGGCCTCTCCTCCTCATCAGGACTCCCCTCCTCCTCAGGCCTCTCCTCCTCCTCAGGGCTCCCCTCCTCCTCAGGCCTCTCCTCCTCCTCAGACCTCTCCTCCTCCTCAGGCCTCTCCTCCTCCTCAGGCCTCTCCTGCCCTCAGGCCGAGTCCAGCCGCCTCAGTCTTGCCCCGTGAGGCGTGCAGGAGGGCGCACTCCAGGTGCCATCCTGGTGACGGTGTGGGTGAGTGGCCGTCTCCTGGGCGGCAGGACACGGGAAGTGGGCGCCAAGGCTCCGTGTGGCCTGTCCCTTACTTGCCTAGGCGGGCGGCATCGTCTGTGTCCAAATGGACCCTGAGTGTAAATGGAGGCCTGGTCCGGAGCGCAGGGAGCCTAGTGGCCGCCGAGAGGAGGGGTCTGAGAAGCCAGTTCAGGGGACATGCTGGTTCCAGTCCTGTAAATGATTGTGTGTTTGTCGAGGCTTGTAAAGATAAGTAAAGAAGAACATGTAACAGGACCATCAGTGGCCCACGAAGCCTAAAATATTTATTACCTGACCATTTATAGCAGAAGTTTGCTGACTCTTGGCTGCAGGTGTTAGGAAATGCTTTACGAAGCCTCAAACTTGAGCAGGCATTTCATGGGATAAATGACATTTTGATTTTCAGGGCAGCAGGGTGAAGGGGAGAGGCGCAGGGGTGATGGGAAAGGCAGGAGGGGGCACAGGTGCTGTCCGTCAAGCCGTGCGGTGGGCTGTGCTGGGCACGGAGGGGCCAGGGATGGGGGGGGTGGGGGAGGTCCTGCCTCACCTACACACAGCAGGTGTGAGTGCAGCTGGCGGGGCCTGCACCCTCGGAGCGTTTTCCAATGGTGCAGCACATTCTTGTTGTCCCTCGCATTTATTTTTTATTAAATGTTTAAAATTACATTTATTGGGGTGACGGTGGTTAATTGGACCATACAGGTTTCAAGTGTGCGTTTCTGTGGCGCATGATCTGTGTGTCGCATTGCGTGCCCACCAGAAGCCCTTGAGGAGGAGATGTGATGCCAGGATGGTCGCTGGCTGTGGGAACGGAAATCAGCATTCCTTTTCCCCGAGGCGCGCTCCTCGCGAGGGCTGGTGCCTGGCAGGCAGCTGCCTGTGGCATCCAACGTGCAGGTGGGTCTGGATCCCTGGGGTGAGGTCGGGATCGGCGATGCTTCCCACGCTTGCGCACGGTTTCCGCCCGGCAGCGGCTGCGTGTGATGTGCCAGTGATCCCTGCACTGAGGACGCGCCAGGACCTCAAGGAAGGCGGCCCGTCCTTGCTGAGTCAGTCACTGTGTCCCCGCTGCCGGGCGTCTGCGTGGAGGATTCGGTTTGTGTGGGACATCGCTGCCTGGGCTGGATGTGTTCTCCCAGAGGTGGCGGGTGGAGCAGGTGCCCGGGGCAGGAGACGCCCTGAGTCCCAGGGGCGGGAGGTCTGTGGGAGCGGAGGCCCCCGGCCGCTTCGCTGCAGAGGGAGGGGACGCTGGGCACGGGCTGTAGAAGTGTGCTCACCCACAAAATCCACGGAGGTAGCAATAGCAAAAACACGTTTTCCCATCACCCCCCACGGCTGCACTTAGGTGTGTAGTCTTTTTTAAAGTTTTTTGTTACTCCTCATCCGAGGATATTTTTCCATTGATTTTTTAGAGAGAGTGGAGGCGGAGAGACAGAGAGAAACATTGATGGGAGAGAGACACATCGATTGGTTGCCTCGTGCACGGGGATCGAGCCTGCAACCAAGGTACATGCCGTTGACCGGAATGGAACCTGAGACCCTGCGGGCCAGCGCTCTACCCACGGAGCCACACCGGCCAGGGCTAGGTGTATAGTCTTTGAGGCTTTTCGGTGTGGACACACCGGGAGGCTCAGGCCCTGACGGTGTGCACTATGCCTGGCAATGAGAGGCGTGCGGCAGGGGCGGGGGTTGCTGCTCCCACGCTCCTCCCAGGGCCCCCTGCTGCTCGCCGTCTGCGTGGCTTCCCTCCTGTGGCCGCTCTCACGGTCCCCCAGCAGGGTGCGGACTGTGGCCCACAGTCAGAGCCTGGCCCCGGAGGACGACGGTGTTCGGCCTTCTTTCGGCCCCTTGATTTGGTGCTCAGCTTCATCCAGGGGGGCTCGGATGGGCGAAGGTTGTGCAGAGGACACTCCAGCCAAATAGCAGTTAGGTGCCTTCAGAACGAAGCCTGGTTTGCACTCGGGTCATCCCTGAGGCCTCCCGACAGGTCCTGGGAGGTCAGGGCCCTGCCCGCCCCTCGGGACTGGTCCACCCAGAGCCTGTCGTCCCACCCAGCCCCTGAGCGTTGCGTGGTCTTGGGATGCAGCCGTCGCCCTTCGTGTGGCTGTCTCCCCTTCCCCAGGACACCTTGTCTGGGAGGTTGGCCCCTTGGTGTTAGCAAGGAGCACGTGGGTGCTGTGGACGTCACCACGGCGTCACTCACGGGACTGGCCTCCGAGTACAGGCACCCTCTCGCTGTGCGTCCCGAGAACCGCGCTGCCTTCATACCAGAAACTTAGTGTTCCGGAACAGGCGTGTGTGCGCGTGCATGTGCTTGTGTGTATGTGTGCATGTGCGTGTGTATGTGTGTGTGCGTGTGTGAATGTCTTGTTTGTTTAAAAAAGGCCAGTGTGTTCATGGTAGAATATTTAGAAAATGCAAATATTTCCCATTGACTCACCACTGTTAATGTTTTGGTGTATGTCATTCATCTCTTTTGGGGGCATAATCTTAGGCATTTTTACAAAAATAGGAATGTATTTAAATAATTTTTAGTTTTTAAAAACACCCTTTTAAAATGAAAACAAAACAAAACAGTTTTTTTTTATTAAAACAGGAATTCCCATTCAGGAAAATTGTTAAATAGATAAATCGAGATACAAAAATACAAATACAATCCTGCCCTCTCCGATCACTTCTAAGCCATGCTTGGGGCATACCAATGTTTTCTTTTTATAAAAATACTAGAGGCCTGGTGCATGAAATTCATGCATGGTTAGGGTCCCTAGGCCTGGCCAATGATCAGGGTCCATCTGGGGGGCAACCGGTGGGGCGATCGGGGGGCCACTGCTGGCACCCACCTTGGCCGGCCTGGCACTGCCCGCTTGCTGGCCTCGCCTGCCGCCACCGCCGCTGGTCACCTCCCTCTGCAGGGCGACCAGTGGGGTGATGGGGGGGCCCTCCCTGCTGGCACCCGTCTTGGCTGGCCTGGGGCCTATGGGTGGGGGGCAGCTCCTGTGTTGCATGTCTGTCCCCTGGTGGTCAGTGTGCATTATAGCAACTGGTCGTTCCACTGGTCACTTGCCGTTCAGTCGATTTGCATATTAGGCTTTTATTATATAGGACAATTCTATATTTTATAATTTGCTTTTTCATATAATAGCTTTATTGAGATGTAGTTTACATATAGTCTTCAACTTTTTAAAGTGTATCATCCAGTCATTTTTACTATATTCAAAAATTTTACAATGATCACCACTTTCTAATTTTAGAACATTTTCATAATCCGGAAAAGAAACCTTGTACTCATTAACTGTCACTCCCATTCTCCTCTCCCCAGCTCTAGGCAGTCATTAATCTATTTCCTGTCCCTATTGATTTGCCATTTCTGGAAATTTCATACAAATGAAATCGTACAGTATGTGGTTTTTGGCCACTGATTTTGTCCGGGTAGCGTATGTTTTCAGGGTTCACCCATTTTGTAGCATGTCTCAGTAATTCCTTTTTATAGGCATGTGATACCCCACTGTACGGAGACACCACCTTTGTTTTCTGTTCATCAGCTGGTGGGCATGGGGTTGTTCCCTCTTTTCGGATATTATGAATGATGCTGCTAAGAACAGTCCTGTACTAGTTCTTGTGAGGACCTAAGTATTTATATCTGTTGTATATATTGCTGGGCCATCGGTAACTCTATGTGTAACATTTTGAGGGACTGCCAGGCTGTTTTTCAGAGCAGCTGGGATATCAGCAATGTGTGCGATTTCCAGTTTCTCCACATCTCCACCACCATTTGTTATTGTTCATTCATTTTACTTTAGACATCCTAGTGTGTGTGAAGTGGTCTCACACTGTGGTTTTGTTTTGTATATTCCTAAGACTAATTATGTTAAGCACCTTTCCATGTGCTAATTGACCATTTAGATATCTTCCTTGGGAAAGTGTCTACTCATATCCTTTGCCCATTTTAAAACTTGGTTATTTGTCTTTTTGTTACTGAGTTATAAGGGTTCTTTATATATAATTTCTTTATCAGATATATAAATTATAAATATGTTCTCCCATTCTGTGGGGTGTCTTTTCACTTTCTTGGTGTTGTCCTTTGGTACACAGAAGTTTTTAGTGTTGATGAAATCAGTTTAACTATTTTTTTCTTTAGTTGCTTGTGCTTTTGGTGTCATATCTAAGAAACCATTGCTTAGTCCAAGAGCATGAAGATTTAAACCTGTTTTCTTCTAAGAGTTACATAGTTTTAGCTCTTGCCTTTAGGCTGTGATCCATTTTGAGTTAAAATTTATGTATGGTGTGAGGTAGGGGTTCGGTGTCATTCTGATGCATGTGGTTGTCCATTAGTTGAGAAGACTACTCTTTTCCCTTTGTCAAAAATTAATTGACTACAAATGTAAGGGGTTATTTCTGAACTCTCAATTCTCTTCTTTTCTATTATATGTCCATCCTCATGCTAATACGCTCTTGATTACTCAGCTTTATAGCAAGTTTGAAACGGGGGACTTGAGAATCCTCCAAATTGGTTCTTTTTAAAGATTGTTTTGTCTATTCTAAGTCCTTTGCATTCCCTTGTTCGTTTTAGGGTCAGCTCATCAAAATATAACTTTCTCTTTCACTTGCAGACTAAGGAAAAAGAAAATGTTCATGATATAATCCCGTGTTGTCCGCTATAGTAACCCTGTGGCTGGTGGGCACGTGGAGTACAGCCTGTCCACACTGCCATGTGCTCTAAGTGTGAGCTTACACCAGGTTTTGAAGAGCTAATGTGGAAAAAAGAACAGAAAACATCTCAAATAATTGTTTATATTGATTACACATTGAGTGGTAAAATTTTATATTGGGTTAAATAATGTATATTACATAAGTTTGCCTATTTTTATCTTTTTTATGTGACTACTAGAAGATTTAAAATTATTTATGTGATTCTTATATTTATGCATTTTTTTTTGTTAATCCTCACCTGAGGGTATTTTTACCATTAGATTTTTTAGAGAGAATGGAAGGGAGGGGGAGAGACAGAGAGAGAGAAACATCTTTGTGCGAGAGACACATCGACTGGTTGCCTCCTGCACTTGCTCCCAAACCCCTGGGGCTGGGGATTGAACCTGCAACCGAGGTACGTGCCCTTGACTGGAATTGAACCTGTGTCCCTTCAGTCTGTGAGCCAATGCTCTAACCACTAAGCAACCGGCTAGGGCCAGACGTGTTTTTTACTAGCATCACATATTATTTGGTTGATTATGTGATGATTATGTAATTGTGTCAAAGTTTCTTTCTATTTACTGAGGTATAACTGACACAACATTATAGTAATTTCAGGTGTATAACATAGTGATTAGATATATGTATATACTATGAAATGGGCACCACAGTAAGTCTATTTAGCATCCAACATCCTGCATAATTATAGAATTTTTTTCTTGTGGTGAGAACTTATCAGATTTACTCTTAGCAACTTCCAAATGTGTAATAAACAGTGTTGCTAGCTGGGCTCCATGCTGTGCGCTCCACTGCCAGGGTTTGTTTTGTACCCAGAAGCGAGCCTGTTTGCCTCCCTTCATCCCCTCCACCCACTCCCTGCCCTGCCTCTGGGCACCTGTCTGTCCTCCCTCTGGACCCCCGTCTGTCCTCGTGGTCTATGAGCTCGTCTTTTTGTTTTTTAGGCTCCACTTATGAGCCAGTCATTGGCACTTGTCTTTCTCTGACTCAGTTCACTTAGTGTGATGCCCTCGAGGTCCATCCGTGTTGTTGCAAATGGCAAGATTTCATTCATCTTTATGGCCAAGTCAGCTTCCTGGTTCCGTTCTCTGTCCTTGGACACTTAGGTTGTTTCCAGTGGCCTCAGCCTCGCACAGCCAGGCCCTCGGCCCGCCGTCGGCCGTTCCTGGGGTGCCGCCAGGACGCAGGTC